TCATCATAGCAATCAAAGCAAAGCTATATATATTTATTTTATCAATAGAAAGATTTTATATAGCCATGAACCAGTAATTCATTAAAATGACCATTTTAGTAACAAAAAAATTTCTTTAACTTTTTTTTTTTGTCAGGATCATGAATATTATATTTTATCATTTCAAAAATATTAAGAATTATATATTTACTTAATAGTCTAAAATTGTGCCAAAACCTGTGAAAATTTATTTCACCACAAGAAGCATAAATTAGCACAATTTTTATGAATGAGCGTTCACAATTTACTCGGTTACAGAGAAAAAGAAACAAATGTTCATATTAGAAAATTATATCAAAGAGAAATTAAGTTTCTATATAATGTATAAAATGTTTAAAACTAGAGATAAATATTTACTTGTTAAAACTGGAGGGGAAAAAATGCAGTAAAACTAAGAAAAAGAAAAATCTTATTAAAACTTCTTCCTCTGAAGAATATTTACAAATAAAATTAAAAACTCAGGAAGGAAAATAACGTTTTTGCCTTAGGATGGAAAACATCTATCATAAACATAAAAACTAGTTATTTTTAAAAGCTTAATTGCACAACATCCATGATTTAAATGTTTTTAAATCAGTAGCAAATAACTAGATCTGGAGAGATATAAAGTTTACATTAAATGTAATAATAGACACCTTTTGAACCAGTTTACCTCATTCTAACATGAAATCTAAAAAGGCATTAAAACAGTTTTAAATGTAGTGTTACTCTTTGTTTCCGTGGCAACATCATTCTGTAGGCTCAGTGGCGCCCTCTGGCATTGAAGTGAGCCCACCAGTTGCTATGGCGACGTCTATCAGCAGAGTCAGTGTCTTACCACGTGTTGTTGTGGCTGCACCTGGAGCTGCAGCGCCCCCTGCAGGCGCTCACAATGAGATTTGGACAGATATTTAACCTTTGGGTAAACTGCCTATTTTGTTATAATGAAAGTCTATATTGAACTTTACTTCAGCACTACGACTACGGGGATTATTTTCTTTGCTTTGTTAATCAGATATGAATAGAGACGTATAAAGAGATTTGAATATGAATATATATTTTTCTTTTTCTTTGATCACCTCCTCCTTTGTCTTTTAATTTTCTTTTTTAAGCATAATAAAAAAATTAACAAGAAAACCCAAAGTGCGGCTCGACTTGTTTCTCTGCAAAATGCTGTGAAGCTTTCCTATAACTTTTACCTAAACTTTGACGATTCTCCTGAGAGCATCCAGGTTCTTCTAGCGTCCCTTCTACTGGGGCTGACTGAGGTTCAGGGAAACAGAAGCAGACGTGAGGAACGTACAGGCGCTGATCCAGGACTAATATCTGATAGAAAAGTAGGTTAGTCGCATCAGTTCCCAATGCAGTGGCTTCAGGTCAGAAAAAAACTCAGAGACAGTATTTAGGGTTTTATGATACAAGATATGACTGTTGACATCTGTATCCCTAATTGACCCTGGTATCCAGTAGTCTAGTTGTAAAAAGAAAAGGGGTGGAATTTATTTATTTTATACATAGCCTAATTAATATATTCTATAAAGCTAAAACACTATGCATGGTAATGTTACATGTCAGGTACGCCGGTCACTGACCTTGACCAAGGCACCTTACAGTAGAACTGTAGTCAGTCCTGGACTGGCATGGCTATCACTGCCCCTACTGAGTTAGCATAGCTGTTGCTGCCCCTACATAGTTGGCATAGCTGTCGCTGCCCCTACACAATTAGCATGGCTATGGCTGCCCCTACACAGTTAGCATTGGTATCGCTGTCCCTACACAGTTAGCATGGCTATCGTTGGCCCTACACAGTTAGCATGGCTATC